TGTTCCATTTGAAAAAATTGAGTTCCACTCATTTTTTCATGAGATCAAAGTATCTGCATTTTTTGAAGACCCTGTATGAGGCAAATGAAAATATGACTCGGAGTGAAGATCCTCATAGTATCACTCCACTCCATTTCAAATTTGATCGTTTTAGTGCAAGAGAGTTCAAGATTATCAGCATTTATAAAAGTTCATGTTTGGTAAAAGAAATATCGAAATTAATTTATACCTTCTAAACGGTAATAGATAGGTGTAGGGAAATAGTATATGAATTTGTTGACAAAGTGATAATGAATCATAATATGATATTATAGACGTAGCGTTCACAAATATCCAATATCACAAATGTAGATTCTCAAAACATGTTTGTACTCGTTCCTTTCAATAAGAGCTTTGTCTCTTTTGAACCAAACATTTTTGAAAGGGTGATATAATCGATTTTTACCCCGTATATCGTTAACGAACAATATTTAACTACGCATATTATTTTTTGGTATTTTTGTTCGTTTTTACCTAGGTTAAGAGTTCAACTATACAGAGTTAAATATAGAATGTTGAAGACTTCTAAATAAATATTCAAGTTCCGCTTGGGTTGATTTTGTAAAACTTACCCTTTCATGATCCCTCTTCCATATCAAATCTTGTTACGGAGAATCTTGTTTTGACGTACTCAAAAAACACACTTTAATGTGAGATTTCAAGTGGAAATTTCACATTGGACATTGAAGTATGTTTTTTGAATAGGTACGTTATAATGGATTTTCATCAAGTATCGGTCAGTTCTATCATGATCTTGTTCTGGTTGGGGTCCAAAAGCATTTTTCTTCTGTATAGTAGTCTGGGAATTGAACTGATTTTTTCAAAATTGATATGTATTCAAATTTATATTGATAAAGACCCAGACAATGTCTTTAAAATTAATTTTTTATGTAATGGAGCTTGGACATACATCCCTTTCAACATTTAGAGTCTATATGTACGCTGATAATTGCCAATAGAACCCACATTTATATAAAAACAGCGGAAATCGATTTATAACTGGGAACTTGACAACCGATTTAAAGGTCAACGACGCAAGAGATGATTAATCATTAAGAGTGCGACATCTAAAATAGTGATTAGCTTATCACACGAGTTAATTGATATAAAGGAAACGGGTCTTTACAGCAGTCGAATGAAAACATGTATTTTTCGTGAATGCAAAGACTTTCTTGATATTGAGTTAATCACAAAAGATTTATTGTGGTTCAATGGATAGAGTGAAAACATTTATTTCTGAATAATCTGAAAAGGTAACTTCCCATTTTCAGAGGTTATATTTGTTTCCTTTTATTTGTGCCACTTTTGTCATCCTGAATGTTTTGTTCATTTCCATAATTCTCTACCTTATTCAATTTTACACTATTGAGTTTCTACCAGAAAAGAACACTACCTACTCCAAAAACAATTTTTCGAAATTGTCCACTGAAATGAATCATGAAATAGCTCAACATCAACAAGTCTTCTGGTTCTGTGGAAGTACTCGTTATCGTACTTAAAGCATGCGCAACCATCAAATTTTATACGTTCTTTAAAAGACGTAAATATGATTCAGGTAATTTTACATTCGTACAACGCCGGAAATTGGGACTCATCGCCCCAAAGTATTATGAATTAAAATTTTTTTTTAACGGTATCGTTCCATCTCAGATACGCAAACATCAACTACCAATGCACCTTTTGGCTGACAATAAGAAGTGTCATATCTTAATGAAGACCAGAAGGAAATGTTTGCTTGGGTTCATAGTAACAAAGTAGAATTTACTGCTGAAACCCAGATCTGTTTTCTCTAAGAAGGTATATACAGTGCATTTTTATAATGTCCTCCCCCTTTTATTTTTTGAACGGGTCAACTCAAAAAATTGAAATTTGGGATAATGAAATTAATGCATGAATACTTAATTTTCGAGTGACATTGACAGATGAAACTTTCAAAATGGCGACTGGGAGCCATCTGGGAAAAAAATTAAATGGAAAGGGGGGTCTTGTGATACATCATTTTGAAGCTCCTGACGAATACTTCACAACCCTAGAATATGAAGCCAATATCTTCACATACTACAAAATGGCGGAACATTCAATAATTTTCTGAAAACAAAGACATTAATACCGATATTTCTAAAAATATTCCTTTTTATCTGCCATATGGCAATTCCAACAACCTGATAAGGTTTGTTAAGTTTAATTTCTCAGTATGAAGTGAACGTCTACGATCCAAAAACAAAAAATACAGGTCCGTATTTAAAAATTTGGGTGGCCCAAATCAGACGACACCCTGTATAAAAGATTCATGGATATATTCTGAGAACCTATATCAAGTACCAATATGTCTGCGAATAAAGAAGATATAGGCAAAAAAATAATTTGGGATTTTTTGTTTTTTCCTGTATATCTCCAGAAGCAAAAGAGATATATTCGATTTCTTTACATCTTTGAATAGGTCTCTGAAATACGCTACTTTGCCATAATTTAACCGACACTCTATCTCTTGCCGTTTACGAGATCCCCATGTACAGAAACGAATTTGAATAGCCCTGTATAAGAAGTATAACTGTAAAATAATAATTTAATAATGGAACAAAAAGAAAAGGATTTCATTTATGGAATTTCTGTTTAGGCTCAGTCATGGAAGTTGAGGTAGGTATTTAAAGTCATAATTCATCAATTGTTGTACAGAATTTCTGTCGTGTTCTAGTGCATACAACCTCAGTTTTTATGAACAATGGGTTATTATAAATTTTAATCATTTCAGGAAAACAATTTTAATGTATGAGAAGGTTCGTTGAGAAATTGACTTTTTTAGGATAAAAGGGTAGGTGAGTAGATTTCGATTTCGTGTATTATATTGGTGTTCGTGAGTTGATGGATCTGAGTTACGAAAGTGAAATCTAACGTTTACATAGTGGTAGAAAATCTATCTAATATTGAAATATTCAGATTCTTCATAGAGACCATCGAAAGAAAATTTGAGGAGTTTGTTGAGAATCAACCAAATGAATCTCTTTTGAATTATTCTTTGTGCAATCACTTTGCTGAAATGTCAAAGACACTTTCTCAGATTCTTTCAACACGATTTCGAACTAGAAAGTTGTTCACATCTCGACGATTTTAAATACTCCATAAAACTCAAGATAGACCTTCATATCATATTACTCGCATATACAGATCTAGGTTCTATTCAGAAATAAACCATTTGCCTGACTGGAGACCCAAATGTCACCAACAATTCTGATAGTCTGAAACATCGAAGAAAGGTTAGGGTCTTGTCTTTGTTTTGTTATGGAAAGTGCTCGACTGACTTGGCCCACTTCGATATTCAACTTAACAGACCTTGAAGCCATGATGAACCATCGCGGGTTGCAGTGAAGGGAGAAATAGACCCACTCACTTTGAACCTATAACCTAACCCAAAGCGAATTTTGCTGTTAGAAAACATTTTCATTCGAGAATCGGCGTCCTTGTACACTGAACTTCCCAAATTAGTTTTTTTATGATATTTATCGAAAGCAATTTAAATTTATCGACAATCGCTATTTTCTACTGAAAGAACGACTTGAGAATTTTTATGCAGTGCTTGAAATTCCTCACAAAAACAAAAAACACAATTTGCGTAACTACATTTTTCTATTGTATTTCATTCACAATCCAATAAAAGTATTGAAGTGTTCTTTGAACAATGATAATCTGGAGTGAGTTATCAATTACCATATGTTTCAAGAATAATAAAATTGACAAATGAAACCAGATTCTAGGAAAATATCGATTTAATGACGCGAATATAAGGGAAGTTAACTCATTTATATAGAGCTGAGATATTTTCATGTACGTAAATATATCATTCTTAAAGAATATACACTTTCACGGCCGGAGATAACTGATTGTGTAATGTTCTGATTCCTTACGTCAGGTCCTGAATATAGTGTTATTAACCGCCATATTACCACCAAGCAGCCACGATGTTGAAGAAACTACCTTTGAATTTTCACCTAATAAACTTTTATGTAATTAACCTGGCAAAAGTTCAATGCTTTGATGAGTTCGGGTCCTTGATGTTATCAGAGTACCCGCAGAAGTAATGAGTTGCTCACAAATTCCATGCGGGCCTTCTGTTCTAGTCACCACATTCACATTTGTGAACCAATTATCAGTAATTGGTAGGGAAACAATCAAACCGCTCAAAGTTTTCATCTACAGATCAGCTTGTTGAGAAGACCTTCGAAACCATTCCAAGGACCATTGGCATAGTTTGTATTGACCCTAAGTTTTTGAAACTGTAACTGCTTCTGAAATTGCTGAGGTCATTCTGTTAGACATCCTCGCTTCTGCCTTTTGTTCTAATCACCCCATTCACATTTGTGAACCAATTATCAGTAATTGGTAGGGAAACAATCAAACCGCTCAAAGTTTTCATCTACAGATTAGCTTGTTGAGAAGACCTTCGAAACCATTCCAAGGACCATTGTTATAGTTTGTATTGACCAAAGGTTTTTGAAACTGTGACTGCTTCTGAAATTGCTGAGGTCATTCTGTTAGACATCCTCGCTTCTGCCTTTTGTTCTAATCACTCCATTCACATTTGTGAACCAATTATCAGTAATTGGTAGAGAAACACTCAAACCGTTCAAAGTTTTCATCTACAGATCAGCTTGTTGAGAAGACCTTCGAAACCATTCCAAGGATCGTTGTCATAGATTGCATTGACCCAAAGGTTTTTGAAACTGTAACTGCTTCTGAAATTGCTGAGGTCATTCTGTTAGACATCCTCGCTTCTGCCTTTTGTTCTAATCACCCCATTCACATTTGTGAACCAATTATCAGTAATTGGTAGAGAGACACTCAAACCGCTCAAAGTTTTCATCTACAGATCAGCTTGGTGAGGAGACCTTCGAAACCATTCCAAGGACCATTGGCATAGTTTGTATTGACCCTAAGTTTTTGAAACTGCAACTGTTTCTGAAATTGTTGAGGTCATTCTGTTAGCTTAACAAGCGATGCGGGAAGCTGTCATCGCCTTCAAAAATCTCACCAACCGACCTAAATCGGGTATCCTTCATAGTCAACAAGATATATAGGTAACGTTCAATTTAGAGGGTGTCGTCATAAACCTTCAACATTTCAAAAAAAAGGTGAGTTATAGATTTCTCTTCTTCATTTGAATGGAGATACACTAATGGGTTAGATCGAATTTTCAAGTAGATTTCAAAACATGTTTACACGTGTGAGATTCATGAAATAAGCTGCCAAGATTATGATAAAAAGGTTAGACAAGCCAGTGAAACTCATTTTTTCGCTTTAGAGAGAATGCTTTTAATTTCTATAAATTGCTGGGACCGGTACATGGCACCTGAGTTTTGTATGTTTTCAGAAGTCTGGAAATAGTGAAGTGTGGCATGAGAACTAGAAACAGTGATAACGATATTATTCCAAACATCTCATTGTTTACTCTTTTAGCGGGGCGTTTGACGTTAATTTGGAGGGGTTGGTTCATCTTGTAAGAATCATGAATTAGCGAATTTAGTTAAGGGGAATAAAATGGTTTCTATCCTAATTATGTCAACTTGATTGGTAAAGCGAGTGAGGAGTTTTGCAGTCCTAGTGTGTGTGGGAGCAGATTTGTGTTAAACTGAAGTGAGTTAGTTACAAAGATCTTGACCTTGAGTTCCTGAATCCTGAAATACGTATTTTTTTGGTGTATTAACGCCATGTAACCACCCAAATGAGAGATGAAGTTAGAAATATTCTTTATGATGAACTGTATTTAAATAGTTCAACCAACAATAACTGTTTATTGCACTTCTCAAGTACGATATTTTTTGAACGAATATAGTGAACAAACGAAAGAAAATAATATTTTTATCAACTTCTAATAAGAAAATCAACTTTCCAACAAAAATCTTTTAATCACTTCTTGATTGGATTGTTACAGTGAAAAAAATAACATAGAATTTTGAACGTCTCCAAAATTTTATACCTCAGATACTGTTGCATACGTGCAGCATAAACGAGCCGCTCATGGATCAATGACAATGAGTGCATCCGCTCACCAAGACTGAGAACGCCTGAATCAACGAATAGTAATAGTCACCAAGTAGGAATTTGATGGGCACCGACTCAAGCGCCGAACAAAACTCCTAGTCGAAGCATATGTGCTAGAGCCGATGATTAGTCGTTGTGGCCAAGAGGGAATATTTGGAAAAATATGTGTGAGTCTTCCATATAATTACGGTTCGGTTGTAGAGGACGAGATAAGTTCAGGAACTGATATGGATGTCTTGAGTAATTATATAAAGTTAATTTGTTACATTATAACACAGAGTAAAACAAAGCAAAAGGGTATGTCAATATTGAAACAGTTATTTTTGCTACATCAATTCGTCATGTTGCTCTTTGCATATTCTTCGAAAATGCATTTGAAACAAATAGCAATTTTATTCTATTAACACCTCAATGTGAGATTTCCACTGGACATAAATAGCAATTTGTCCAAATTACAAATGAGATACTGCATGAATCCCTTTCTTTATTCTACACACTGTATATCAGTAATAATACACACTATTCCAAAGGAAAAAAATCTAGTATCTTGAAAGCAATTAAGAAATTTTAATTTCAATAATTTCAACACACGTTTATTTTTTTTTAACATTTCTGTTACTCGCATGAAATTTGAAATAAAATACCTGCCAATGATATTTCACAGAAAATTAAACATTTAACCTTAGAAAAGTGTTTAAACTTATACTCTCTTATGCACCTAATGCGTGTAAGGCGTAAGGCATTGAACTTACCCTGTCAGGATATACATTTGGCATCAGCAGTGGAAACTTTTTCACTTCACAACATGTCAAATCAATGATTATTGATAACAGAAAAGCAACTCTTAAGCAAAACATATGTCTAGGCGCCATTCTATTCAAAAATCAATAAAACTTGCTGCACACTCGGTGCCGATTCTGACAGCACAGAGTTCTCATTAGCCTTGAATTCATCCTTATAAACCTAACCTCTCGTTGACGTTTTCCCGTGACGTCAGGAAAATCGTGGGAGTGGAGGCTGCGGAAAGTCTTCCCTTTTTTCCAGGCCGGCTCGGATAGTCGGTCGATTTCTGGAGAAAATGAATCAAATGATTTCAGTCCAGAGATTCCTTTTTACCCGGAGAGAGTTAACATCTACAGGACAAGAAATCTTCTCCGTCTATATTTTGTTTGTACTACTCACTAATAGATGGCACTCAAGTGTTGATTTAAATACAAGTTAGCAAGTTTGTAGCAACGTTGCCAGGTATCCTATGCTTTCAGGAGATCTGTCTTTGATCTGCACAGATAACTTGAGTCAACGAAATCATTTCATATGTGTCATCAATACCTGGTGCGATGAAACCCCCATTTTCTTCTTCACGTGAAAACCAAAGGGAAAACAGTTACCGTTTGCATTCAATCGGAGATAGCTATTGCTTAGATGATATAATCAAAGACGGATAGCTGCCGTACAAATTCTGTAGTTGATGCAGTATTGCATAAGGGAGAAAAATTTGATAACATTTTCTGAGAATGATCAGTATGGATTGTCAAAGTACCAAAAGCTCCGCTGCAGGCGGAATTTATTACTTTTTGCCGAAAATCCCTTAGTTTTCGAAGCCAATTTACGTTAAATCAACCATTTCTTGATTTCTTTTGAAACACATTGTTTCCTGACTTGCTTAATATATTTATTCGTCACAAGTGTCAGTTGTCACCTTGATTATTCCATGCAACTGCCATTGAATTATCTCAGTCAACAACTTCCATAAAAACTCATAAATGGAAAATACCATCCGACAATTGATCCTGATGACAATCGTACAGGGTAACCAAGTCAAAAAAAAATTCAAGTTAAACTGTTTCATGCGTTTCATTAACTTATGGTCAGGAATTTTTGTACGGCTGGCTTTTGATTGTATTGACTCCCGAAAAAAGTGTTTTGGCACCATATTGACATACAGGATTGCTTACTTACATATATCGCCACGATAAACAAGCACCGAGCAGATGTGATGTGACACTTTTAGTAGCTGCCATAAGACTGTGTTATTTTAACATTTTTTGAGGATTATTTTCGGACAGTATTACATTGTTTTTGATAACATTTTTATTTAACTATACCAATTAGGTTTCTGAAACATTGAGTTTGTTATTGTGAAAGTCGTATTTTTTTGTGTTTTTGGATATTTTTTAAACTGGTGTACCGAGTAGACGCCATGTAAGACTCTCTCCATTGACACTCTCAATTGTGGAACTTTTTTTTGTTTTTTGAACATTTTCAAATTAAATGAAGGTAAAATTGGAAATAATCACATTTTTGTAAGTAATAGCAATAATTGTCTAACCATTAAATAACCTTGTAATTTTTAGTTAAAATGCCTGGTCGTACATCCTAGTCCATTGGAAGTAATTTACCGAATCAGAATGATCATTCTGGGAAAAAATTCTACCATCCTCCAAGCTGCAGTAAATACTGAAAAACCGACAACAGAAGAATATATTACTCCAAAAGTCACGAAAAAGGTGGAAATTGAAATTAACGCAGACACGATTTTAGAGCAGACAATAGGATCAAATTGCAGTAACTCATTTTCATCTAGTAGATCTGATATTTCTACTAACATTCCTTCAACTTCAAATACAAATATTCCAGAAATAACAGAGTACTCTTTATATTAAGTATTTAATCGTATATAAAAATAATATTTTACATGAAATTTGTTTATTTTAATTTAAAAGTGCAGTAGCGAATCAATTCAGAGTCACCACTGTTACGTCACGAGATCACGTGACGTGTCTAACAAAATCGCTAAAGTAAGCAATCCTGTATGTCCATAATCGTTATAAACTAGGCTCATAAAATTGTTTTACAGTGTTGTCACACTGAATCATGAACAATTTTTATATTCCCACTGCATTGTGACATAGAATATGACATAGAACTGTGTTCTGTGACCAGGAACAATCAATCTTTTCAATCTTTTATTCACAAATATTCACAGATTATGGGTTTTTTCTATTGTACGTGAGTCGTAATAGACACGACCAAAAAGTGATGGATGTATTACCATAGTAATGACATATGCAACACTGAGTTGATGATTTTGACAGCAATATTGTGATGTTTCTATGGTAAGAAGTCTAGTATACTACATGAATACTTGTTTGCTTTGTAATTCAACAATTATATCATTATCATAAACTTCAATTTTCAATTAGGAATGGTCCTGTCTAACGCTCTACATTCTGAAATATTCAANTATCTGTTTATTAGCAACATTCTGAGAGTGCATTGCACTGGAATAAATATCCCAACAGCTGATGACGAATTTGGAAAGAATAGGCATTTAGATAAAAAAGAGTTCTCTTATAGGTTTCTTTTGGGGACTCTGGGGTGTGTTTTATATTTTATTCATTATTACACAAGTATATGGCATTTGCAAAATGTTAAACAAGTACGATTATCAAAGTAGTTGGATTATACATGTCCAAGACATTGTGTGATTCTTTATCTCTGTCTGTTGAAATCTGTTTTTCCTTTAACCAGCTGTTGCCCCCTAAGAAAGACAACTCTCAAAAGTCGAAACTTGTGCAAGCTAACGACTAACGAGGTCTTACCTTTTAACGTGTGATTCCTAAAAGACGTTGGACAGTAGGAAGTGAAAATCGATCGTCTGGCCTTGTGGTTTGAACCACTGTTTCACTCCAGTAATATTCATCACTACACCAAAAGTTCCAAACAGTGCATCACAAGTACAACTAATTTGATAGATGTAGTTTCAACAAGATGACCGTTATCAATTGTCAAAGTTTGAATGTCCCTGTTGGAAGACACTATATTATTTCATCTACTTTGAGAATAGTTCACATATAGAAAATAATCATGCAGTCATTCAAATGAAGAAGGTGGACAAACTTCAAATATGTGTCTCTGGTTTATTGACCTTCATCAGTGCAGCAAAGCCAAATGTTAAGGATAGATAACACTTGATTGTCAGAAGTTCAAACATGCAACTTCATAAACACCAGTTAACTACACATCTATAGCTTCAGTCAGAAGGTATCTGGTACCTGCTCAAATCTTTGTCCAGGAATGGTTTTATATAACCAAAAGTTGAATGAGTGACAACTATTACATCAAAAGAAAAAACTGCATCCATACCTTTCTGTGACAGTGTTGTTTAGAGGTGTTAAAACCTTTCCAGTTTGCATTTGGACTTGCTCAAATGTATTTGCCGTGCACAATGAATTCCACTATTGAAGAATTTATATGTATAATATCATTCGACGAGGAAAAAGAGATGAAAAGAAGATATTGGATTCATTCCATAAAAAAGACATTTTCTGGATAAAGGCTATTACTGCAAGGGAACGACTAGCTCTTCCCGAATAAGTTCAATCAAAAGTTTCATCAGTCACTACTCAATTCAAACAGAATTTACTTATAGAAAACAGGCATCAAGGATGCTGGAATATCACTGCGTTGGGCATGAGTGGACATGGGCTGACTTTCCCACTTTACTTACATTGATTTCCCATTTCCTCGATATATTTTTTTGCACTGAAAAGTTTCATCAGTGCAGTTCAACTCAGTGTGAAGGATAAACAACACCTGGATACACAAAGCTTCAACATGCCCGGTTTCCAACAGAAGCCCACACCAAATCTGTAGCTTCAGTCATAATACCTTGTGTTAGTAAAGAGATAATTAATAATAATAATAAATGTCATTTATTGGTGAATGCCAAAGGGCCATCGACCGAAGTCCTTTAGCCACTTTTATATTTATTTGTTCAAAACAATTGAAAATACTGCACGTTGATAGTCCTCATTGAATATAGTGGTCGAAAGTTTTCAACAGAGTGAAACAAGTTCGATAATGATTATGAACAAGATTTCTTTTACATTTATTTAAGTAGTAGTAGAAGATTTATCGTAAGAAAACTTGATGAAAAACATTTTTTTTTTTAAAACTCGTCGATATTCATATATTTTTATTACCGTTTGCCGATCTTCTTTCTTTCGATTGATTGTGCTTTAATTCTTCAATATTCTTTTATGTAATCATTTCTGTAATCTTATGTAACACAGGTAGGTTAGTTGCGTCTTTGTAAACCCAGGTCAGGTTTTAGCAGATAACAAATGAAATTGCCAAGTGTGTGTTATTTTTCATGTAATTCAAAGCAAAACCCAAAGTCCAAAAATGAAAAGAGATTACCTCAGTAAATAGTATCGAAGAAAATTGAAGCAATACTCTTATTCTATGTAGTCAGTTTGCCAACAAAATGAAAATTCCCGATTTCCTGAAGAAACACCCTTCCAGATTCTTGATTCACTGACATATTGATATGTTCTTATTATTTCCAAGTAAAAAATACCTTTTCCAAATTCGTCAACAACTATTGGATTGAAATGTTTTATGAAATGAAATAAACCTAATAATGTTTAGCTGGTGGTAACTGAAGAGGCTGCCAAAGAAGCTGAGGAGAGCAAAAACAAAGGAAATGCTTACATGAAAAATTCGTCTTATAATGAAGCTTTAGAAGAATATACAAGGTGACTAGTCCTTATAAGTGCATTCAACTTTCTTTATAAAATTTTGTTTTACTTTTTAATTTCAAGGGCAATTCAATTGAACCCAACAAATGCTGTTTACTATTGTAACCGCGCCGCTGCCTACAGTAGACTAGAGAAACACTTAGAAGCAATCAAAGACTGCCAGATAGCAATAACCCTAGACCCAAATTACGGCAAAGCATATGGTCGTCTTGGAATTGCTTATTCCAATCTCAACAGGTTTGAGGATGCAAGGCATGCATATAAAACAGCTCTGGAACATGACCCTGGAAATGCCATGTACGAAACTAATATGAGATTGGCTGAAGAGAAACTATATTCCAATATGGGTGAGTGGTTTTAGAAAATAAAATTGGGCTAAAGCATGTGTTTGTAAATAAAAGTTTTGTCCGTTTTAATGTCATGTGTTTTTGTAGCTCCTTATCTCATTAAATGTTTATTCTACTGTGTCTTGGTGTATACTGATCAATAGAGAATTTTGTGCTCTATTCATTGGTGGTATTAATTTTTTTTCCAAATTTCAATTTTTTTCCCTCTTTTCAGCTTATTACTATGATGTCGTTAAGTGATTTTATCTACGAATTCAAATTGAATCAGAGTGCTGCCAAAAGAGCCAGAAAAATTAACTAGGCATTTGTCAATGATAGTGTTAATGAACGCACTGTTTGACGTTGGTTTGCAAAATTTCGTTTTGGAGATTTTATTTAGCCTCGAAGATGGGCCCCGAAGTGGTTGACCTATAGTAATTCAGGAACGAGGATTTGAGGACCCTGGTGGAGACTGACCCATCACAAACGGTGCGTGGGAAGGTGGAATAACTAGACGTCAGCTCCCATGCGGTTTTTGATGGTTTGAAACTCATTGGAAAGGTCAAAAAGTTTGGAAAATGGGTGTCCCACAATTTGATCGATCGACAGCAATTGTTATGTTTTGAAATCTGTTCTTCTTTGCTTTTGCGTGACCAAAAAAAAATCCTTTTTCGATCAGATCATCACGTGTGGTGAAAAGTGGTTCCTCTACAGCAACAGGAGACTTCAGGACAGTGGTTGGACACCGATGAGTCACCTAGGCACATCCCAAAGGTGAAAATTCCACCAAAAAAATCACCATGGTTACTGTATGGTGGTCAGTGGATGGTGTGATTCACTATAACTTTTTGCAACTGGGCCAAACCATCACAGAGTCCTATTTTGAGGAAATTGACGAAATGTACTTAAAATGGCGTCAGAAGCAGCTGGCACTGGTCAACAGAAGAGATCCGATCCTGATTCACGATAACGCTTGTCCGCATGTTTCATAAATCACCGTCCCAAAATTAAACCATGCTCCCCAGACCCCTCGTCAACTGAATACCATTCTTTCAAGCACTCGCAATAACTTTCTCACCGGTAGAACCGCCGCCAATCAGGACCAGACAAAAACGGCCTTCGTCGACTTCATCAAATCCGGTATACACAATTTTTATGCTGATGGAATTATTCGACTTGTGTAACGTTGGCAAAAGTGCACTGATTCAAATGATGCTTATTTCAATTAAATTGAGTAAGTATTCATTGAGATATTACGCTTTGAAGTAGTACGGTTTGGAACGGACAAAACTTTTGAAACAATCTATTACATTTGCTTATGGATTTTCCACACTGGTTATGAGTAAAAACTTATTTTGAGTCACCAAAGTGACTAATTCAGAAACTGTCAGTTTTTTCACATATTTATGGAATTTTCAGGCAAAATTGTCAACTCAGTAAGTACAACTCTTCCATCTTGAGTTAATCACTCTGTAAAATAATTTGAGACTTTGAACAATACCCATTTTAGCTGATACTTTTACTCCTGCCTTTACTTCCTTTTTATTTGTTCATTATACATTGTATACAAAATATTTGATATTCAAGTTTTCTGTTGGTTCTATAGATGTCATTTCATACTCAGGGCCAGTATTATACATGAAATATATAGCAGACCAAAATAACACTATCCAGTATAGGATTATGAATACAATGCTTTTGGCCTTTGGTATGATCTAATTTTATATTCTTTATTTGTATTTTATTTAATTATTTATTTATCCTTAGTATATGCACAATCATGTACACAGTCCTACCTTGAATACTCTAGACTTAACTCAACATTTTTATAGGTAAAAAACATTCATTATTTCTATAACGAATGTGTTCTCACAGAATATACAATATTGCAGTAGCATTAGACATAAGATGACTTAATTAGTAAATTTGACAAAGATACATTTTAAGTTTATATAATGTTGAAAATATTGATATCATTGTTTTTTATTATGATGTCTTTAACTGAAAGACAGTAGTCGATTGGAGAGTTTTAATTATAGTTATGGAATATTTGGTCTCGGCATTGTAGGCAAATACCAGGTACATTCAGATCAATGGAGGCAAGTACTTCAGGAAGGAAAATTTTGTTTTGCAAGATATTGAAAATCAATGAAACCTGATAATTTTCAGGACATTGTTTTAGATATCATATTATTCTTTCAGTTGCCTTTTATAAAAGAGTAGAAGTGGATATATATCATATGTTTTAAAATATGGAGACCTGAAAAAGCATTTCTTTGTTTTCCTAGCATGTCAATAGCCCTAGAGAGGGCTATGTAACACAAGAGTATTCAAGTTTTCAACAAACTTAGGAGTTGAATAGCACCTAACATGTATTGTAGTTGGAATTCATGTCAAGGTCTAAGTACAAAACCAAGTCTTCCAAAGCAGTTTTCCTATAATTTTCCGATTTGGGTGTTGAATTCAAAATTTGACATAAAAATTACCCCTACGTCATTTATTTTAATGATAGGTTCTAACATGTTCATGTTCTATGTTCTGAATATGGGATGTTTTTTTAAATATTACTTTGCATTTAGAGATCTTCATGTCTTAACAGAAATGGAAATGATATCGTGTTGCAAAAGTTTGTTAGGTGTTTTGACAGATTGGAATATTTTTAAGTTGTCAGTGTATAAAACGAATTTTAAAATTTTTATATAGTCAGATATGTCATCGATAAATATGACAAAAAGAAGAGGTCCGAGTATTTGAGCCCTGTGGGATTTCTAAAGTGGCTATAAAGGTATTTGGTCCACTCTTATTGAGTCTAACAAAGTGTTCTTGGATAGGACTGAATGTCACTTTTCAATCAAGACTTTGTGAATGACTTTGTAAAATGCCTTCGCTAGATCAGTATAAATGGTATCAACTCGTGATTTCCTAAATCTGTTGGCAACATAGTCACTAAATATACAAGGATTGGTTACATTGGATCTCTTATTGATAATGTTTATTGATGGGTATGGAAGCGACATGGTGATAAATTCTATTGAATGATAATTTTTCAAACTTTTTGAAGGAACTACGGGCAGTATCACCTGACTTGTGTATTGATGTTATTCTTCCAAAATAAATCTTTTGGGAAACATGTTTTTCTCCAAGGATTTATTGAGTATACTTTATAATGAGGCTAGTAAGATATCTGCATATGCTTTAAAACTGTTTTTGAAAAAAATCATCAATGTCTAAGGCTGATTTAGGTTTTAATGACTTGACCTTATTCTAAAAACTATTTTATTCTCTTTCATTCCGGTATGGCCAATATGAAGTTTGGAATAAGAACCGTAAGCACACTTATATACTCCTGATCCTAGTTATGTAGTGAAAGTCATTATGATTCAAATCACTGTAAAAAATAAGAATTACAATGTAGATATTAGGTTAGTACTAAACAAGCCTGAAGAAGCTATTGTATAGTGAAATGGTTTTGTAAACTGCCAAATAGAAATCTCACAATAAACTGTAATTTATATCAAATTATCATTAATTCTCCTGATATCTACATAATCCAAATTTGATAAACATGGCTACACAAATGTTAGGTGATACAAACTTCCGAGGCTTGTAAGTCTGTCATATTGCTGTTAAGTATTTTTTATTTTTCATTGTAATATTGCAGAATATCCAGGTTCATGGAAATGAGTCAATCAGGAGACCCCAACATAGATGCATTATTTCAAGCGTAAGTATTTACCTAAATATACCTACAAATTAATATGAAACATTTTAAATTGAACTTGTGTAAACTACTATTTTTAGAATATCAATTTCACATTAATTTTTATAAGGGGCCAATCACACAGAGGTTGTAACTCACTGAGTATAGACACAACCAAGTGGTTGGAAATCAGAAACCATTTGTTTGAAGGGGGTTGACAATGTTTCGTGGTGCATTTCATCACTTCGGACTTCCATTTTCTAATGTGATATAAATTGATTTGAAATCCCTGAAAGAATTTGTAAAAAAATTAAAAAGATATCATATTAGACAATGGAAGTCCGAAGTAATGAAATGAATCAGAAACCATAACTGGAGGGTTATGGTATGTGATGATGGTAAATATTTTCAGTAAATAGTATCATGTAAAGAGAGTACAACATGACCAATTTAGGGAAATATATTTTTAGCAATATAAAGGAGTCATTTTTTTTTATGACCAGTGAAAAACGGACAGTAGTTATCATAAAAACAGTTCTTATAGGGAATTTTGTCACAAAATGAGGATAAACCAGTTGCTCCATATGAGAAGAAAGAGTTACTTGAAAAATCTATACAGTGTGTGAGTAGGGGGTAGGTCAAAAGTGATTGGTTCTATTTGACCCTCCACACCAACCTGCGATGGTTTATTATGATTCATGCCTATTCAAATTTGACGAAATAAATCTAGCTTTTTTACTTATTTGGTGAGAGAACTAGCTCGCTGAAAACCTGATCCAGTCTATGGCGGGGCAGGCATATAGTGTGAGATCTACCAGGGCCTGAATTTTCTTGTGAAGAATAATCCTCTGCAGGACAGGCAAAAACTGTTTGGATGACAATTGATTTTCATAATAGAACCATTGAAGTTTGTGTCGAAAGTGTATTTAGGTGTCACATTACCCATGAAAATGTTCCATGTTCATTTATCCTCATAGTCCGAAATGTACGTTTTGCTCAAGTTCTTCGTCACTCAGAAAATGTTCCAGTCTAAATTGAGTCCCTTTAGTGACTACAAGATGTGAAGAGGATGGATTCAAGAATGTATCCATTGCCTATTGGTGTGATTTTCATTACATTCGTCATTCGCAAATATACAAGTCTTTATTGATAAGGCTTGCTTGTTTCATCTTTGGTCATGATACGAAAAAAGATTATATAATCATTGGTCTAAATATAATTGAGTATATCCAATACGTCATGTCTGGTTTCAGCAGCCCCTCTGGCCAGCATCAGAGCTACTTTGGTTAGTTCCAAGCAAGTCTAGTATATAACTTCCAATTGAATATTTTTACTTTTG